AAAAATATTTATTAATAAAATTAAAAACTTTTATATATAAGAAAAATTATGTAAATTAGTAAAAAATTTAAGTATTATATTACTTTTAATAGCTACTATATATAATTATATAATTAATAAAAGATAAAATAATAATAAATTATAATAATATTATAAAATTAATATTTATTATTATATATATATTTTTTTTATTATGAATTTAAATTATATTTTATTTAATTATATTATAAATATATTCTTACTACTTATTTTTAATTTTATTATAATTATAATTTAATATTTATTATATTATATTTTTGATTATATTAATTTCTTTTATCAAGATTATTAATATCTTTATTATATTTTATTCTGGCCAAATATTATATATAAAATTATTAATTTATTATAAAATAATTTTTTTAAGAAATATTAATAATATATATAATAATTTTTTTAAGAAATATTAATAATATATAATAATTTTTTAAAATAAAAATCATACTATCTTAGATAATAAAAATAATATTAGAAGAAAGAACAGATGGTATTATTAAAGAAAAAAGAATAAATGATAATGATAAAAAGAAATTGTAATTAATAAGCTTTATTTACAAATAACAAAGAAAAATATGATATTATATAAATAATTTTTCTTCAAATCATATGCTGTCGATCAAATGTGGCGGACATGTGGCTTGACCGACTAAACTGCTCGCATTTAGCATCTAATACGCCATGCATTTGTAGATCAAAACATTGATGTTCTTTTAACTTATTGTGATGTCAGCGAAAAAGAAGACAAAACTCCAACACCAAGTGTCCGTTTCGAGAAATAACAACGTTGTGAGTAGCGCTCAATATAACTTCACCTCGTTAACTACCGCTGGTATTCCAATATATGGGCAACCATCAGTTAACTCTAACATTATAATTCAGTCATTGATTTTGAACAGTCGACAATTAGCTGAATATTATACTAATCCTTACAATACCACTACTATGGATTTATCCAATAAGTATTTAAACCATTACCCATCCCCTACACCTTATGCTCAAACTTCGCCTTACACCCAAGCCATTCCTTCCTGGGTGAATCCTGTCGAACAAACCATATCTCCTACTTATGTAAGCCGACCGACTTTATCTGAGGATCCATTCATCGTAAATCAAGGATATATTCCGTTTGAGAATGATCAATTGGATTCCAAGAAAAGTAAAAATCAAAAGAAACGAAAATTAAAAGAATCGTCTTTCGAAATATCAATATCCGATGACCCTCAGGAAACTCCTTGGGTGGTTAGAAGGATGCTTGATGATTTTACCAAGGCTATCTATATCCTGAATCAAGATGTGAACGATTTTGTTGATTATATATCACCTCGGCACGAAGAACGACGCATGCGTCAATACGTAGTTCGGCTTATTGAAAAAGAATTCGAAGCCGATAAAATTTCTACCGTGGCTTTTGGAAGTTTTAATACAGAATTGTATTTACCTACAAGTGACATTGATCTCGTCTTCTTTTGTAAATCTACAGATGTAAAAAAATTAGTCCATACTTATGCTGCAAAGATCCGCAAGGTAGATAAATTAGTTACAAGTTCAAAAGAGGTTATTACAGTTGCAAATGCCAAGGTACCAATTGTCAAGTTCACAGAGAAACACACAGGATTTAATGTGGATATTTCATTCAATCAAGGATCGGGAATACAAACAGCAAACATAACAAAATCTTTACTAAATCGATATCCTGGCTCAAGAGAATTGGTACTAGCTGTTAAATTCTTTTTAAAACTAAACGGATTGAATGAACCTG